ACACTTCATAGATATATTCCTGTGAAGAAAATTGAGGAATACAACTTCTTTGCTTGATAGAATGCGACTATGTTATCTCATTCAGTGATTTATATCGTTATACCTGTGTTCATGTGGATTGATTGTGTAAATAGTCAATTACCTTGCAATATTGCAAAGTTTCCTTATGGTCATGCTTGTCAATGTACCGATAATTATTGTGATACTATAACGCCATTGGGTACTTTGCCGTTTGCCCAAGCAGCACTATATGAGAGTACCTCAGAAAATGCTGGAACTCATCGATTAACCAGATTAGCAAACCTATCGTTTCGTAAGGAAATAAATCCAAATATTTCAGCTGTTTTACAAATAAATGATACAATGAAATATCAAACAATTATCGGTTTTGGCGGAGCGTTTACGGATGCATCCAGCATTGTAGCCCATCGTTTATCTGCTAATTTACAAAAGACATTATTAGCTCAATATTTCGGTGAACAAGGTATCAATTACAATATCGGACGTATTCCTATGGCTGGTTGTGATTTTAGCACGTATTCGTACACATATGATTCTGTTCCGAATGATTTTGAATTGAAATATTTTTCTATTGGAATGGATTTACCAATCAAAATTCCATTCATTCAATCGGCTATTGCAATGAGTAATGAGACGATTTATTTTTTTGGTTCACCTTGGAATGGACCCGATTGGTTAAAAAATAAAAGTAGTTCTGTAGGCACTCTAAATGGTGTTCCTGGTGATAAATATCATAAAACTTGGGCACACTATTTTAGTAAATTTATTGAAGCGTATGAATCTGAAGGAATTCCTATTTGGGGTATTACTACACAGAATGAGTATAGTCAAGTGAAAGACTTCGAAGGATTATTTTATACCACGGAGCAATTAGCAGATTTTATTCGTATTGACTTAGGACCAGAATTACGGACCAAACATCCATCAGTAAAAATTATGACCTATGACGATGACATGGTATTACTTTTCTTGAAAATTGATCGAATGATAAAACGTAATCAAACAATTGAACAATTTATCGATGGTATTGCTGTTCATTGGTATGCTACAGAAGATATGACCTTTCCTGATTTTTATGAATTATTTCTCACTAAATTAGAATATCCACAATTTTTCTATCTTCCTACAGAAGCTTGTGAAGGATATATGAAAATCAATAAAGGACCTAGATTAGGTATGTGGAAACGTGGAATACATTATGCTCTATCGATTATTGGAGATCTACTTGTTGGAGCTTCCGGTTGGACAGATTGGAATATTGTCTTGGATTTAGAAGGTGGTCCCAATCATATTCGAAATTTTGTGGATTCACCGATCATTGCCAATACAAGCAGTGGAACAGTCTTCTATAAAAATCCGATGTATTATGCAATGGGACATTTTTCTAAATTTATTCCTCGTAATTCTATACGCTTAGGTATGAATGTGCTAAAAGAAGAAAAACAACACGCTCTAACTGAACCAATGAAAATCGTTAGCTTCTTAACTCCAATGAAGCAAATGGTAATTGTAGCTTTGAATCATGATCGAACAAAGACACAAAGTGTACAAATTCTCGATCCTAACCAAGGCTACTTAACTTTAACTTTAATACCGGAATCGATACAGACGATTGTTTATGATATAGATTCAAAGTCGACTCCCTTTTCTTAAAATATCCTTTTTTAAATTCGTGTTGCCGATTTTGTACACGAGTTTTCTGTAAACTTTATCTTAATGATTTTTCTACTGATTACTTTTGATACTATTGAAAAATAGGAAAACCGATTGAATTCTAATCGGCTGGTAGAAATTGTCGTAATTTTGTATTTTATCATAGATAGCATGTTGTTTTTCTGAATGAACCCGAGACTTTGTGGATCGACACTGACTTACTCACAAAATAGAGACTCACTCACGTAGACTCACACCTCACATTCATACCATCAAGATTATATCGACAACTGATTGAAGTTGATGAACTTCAATATTTTCTATTTTAGTCATATAAGGAGGAAATAGATGTTTTGTATAGATGTATTTATAGACAACTTACCTCATCTCGTATTATAAGTGCTAATATGATCATGCAAGAAAAAAATTACCATAATATAGACAACATGCACAGCATATTAATAGTAATATAAAAATATGTGACTATTCCACTTTTTCACTGATTTTTATACCTCTCTAGATGCAAACATAAACGAGAATTGATGAGATAAGTAAAAATAACAATGATTCCTATATTGGTATATCGAAATTCTCGAACTTGACTGCAGGTAATTCAACATATTCGACGGCTATTACTTCTCCTACTGTGAAGTTATCTCTATTGTTCGAATATTCCAAAACTATCTGACAGAAATTCTTGATGGAAAGAAATATGGCGCAAGAATCATGTTGATACGCTATTCATTTTACACAAGTGAGAGAGAACACTGCACGCATATCAAGAAATAATTATCAATAAAATGTAAACAACTGTTTCCTTATCATTTATTGTAATTCTAAGGGCATAATATTGAAACTCATAAGCCACTGTAAGTGAAAAAAGGATCAACGTATCAATTCTTAAATATAGTTTCTATGCATTGTACTTTAACATAAGGAACGATTATTGAAGTGGGCATTCCCACACACACTGTATTGGTCGAGTTTGTGAAGAAGGAAAAGTGCCCGAAAGCTTTGCTTTCATAGCAATTGGTGGAGCAGTAACTCATATTCAATTAAAGAGAATTAGAAAATGCTTATAATTTTGTCGATGATGTCCATCAAAAGTAGATAGACAGGTGGATATCGTAAACGAGTTTGCTATTGATTTTCTTTTCAGAAATTTTGTTTGCGTCAACACGACAATAATACTCGGTGACATGGACCTAAATATCGCGTTATTTTTTGATGTTATTGACCGATTTTGCGCAATTAACTTTTAAAAAAATTAAAATGAGATCGTCAGTATGTCTGTATGCATCAATGTCGAAAAGAATAGATCACATCTCGATTAAACAAATAACAAAATATATAATTGTGCGCGAAAAGCATTACAAAAGCACTTTTTCTTTTCTTCTTCAAACATCGGATAATGATAATGGACTTCGTATCATGTTATATGAAAAGAAGCACCTATCACCATAACTAGTTTGAATAATAGACAATGGTGTATTTGAGTGCATATATAAATATATAGGACATTTTATTTACTGAAGTTATATTCAGCGACAATCTTGATTAATATCCTGTTGCAAAATAAGATAGAAATAACACACAAACACTTATCAAGATTGAACTTTAGAATATGATTTTTTATTTATAATCGCTGCAAAATTAGTAGGATTCAATGAAAACGTTTAATTCGATATCCATTTAAATCGTATTAAATATTGTTTTCTAGATTCTTAAGTAGTATCACTGGAATTCAAGTGTATAAATTTTTCTTTTTATCTCTGTATCTTACTCAGTTACATTCCATCCTAAATGCTTAGAATACAATTTGTGATCAAAATCTTTGAAATTTCATTGTTTATGATTACAAAAAGTATCGATTGGCATAAATCATTACAAATTTTGATGTACGCATCATGCAAATAAAACAAATTTCTATTCATTAAATTCTATGTAACTGATCTGTGGAAAATATCTAGGATGTTTTTCTAAAAGTAGAATTCTTTCTATTTCTCTTCTCTTGATACAAGTTACTATATTATATTTGTTGATACTAGAAAACATGAAATTTCATGATTGTATATCAATTATATAAATTTGAACCAATATTTAAAAGTAACATCAATTTAATCCTTGAAAATATCCATTGCACCTAATCTTCATACATGTTTGCGTCCAATCTGGAATCCGACATTGACTGAACAGTAATTTAGACTACTCTCGGAATAATTAGTTAGAAGATACCCAATCTAAGAGTTGCCTAGGCTAACCACGAACTAGAGATTAAGTATATTGCAGTCTATGTGAAGGTATTAGGTCAATTGAAAGAATATATTGAATAAAGTAAAAATAGAGGATGTGAATATAGGTGTAGGAGTTGAGCAAAGCGAACAAGTGCATCCATACGCACTGTTCGTCGATTTTTTTGTGTTATTTACTTATGATTATTCTGTTGAAAATAAAATTTCATATGCCCTAATTAACTTTTGCTTTAATGTCATATGTTCGTCCATTCGAGATGACTCTCGACCAATTTGAGACTCACCTAATAGTGGCAGACAAGCCTCATATTAAACGGCTTGTAACTAATCAATCCGAGAGTGGCCTGAATTAATGACAGATCTGACGATTGGACGCTAGCATATATATGAAAAGTATCTAAGAATAAATCTCAAGAAGTATATATTACGGCTAGATTGTTCAGTGCTATTCTATCATAGACTGCCACATAGCATTTCTGATTATATTTTTATATGGCAGTTAATACTTTAGAGAATCTTTTCTTATGATATATCGCACTTTTTTTCTCTTTCAGAAACAACTTTTGTTAGCATTATAATGAAACAGTTGTTTTGGTGTGTTCTGTTTTGCTTATACAATCAAGTAACACATTGCGTTCAGCCTTACTTTCCTTCGCAAATAACATTTTATACAGATGATGATCAAATACTGTGGCAGTTGATGAAATTAATCAACAGGCTTATCTAACATATCCAATCAACTCATTACAAAGACAATATACATTTGCAATGAAACATTTTCCTTACACAATACCTGATTCGCCAGAATCAAAACATTATGTTCAACTAGCGAACTATTCTCCATCGAATAGTTGTATGTATGGAACATATTGAAAATATGGTGAATTTACATTTAACTCGTTTCGTTTACATTGAAATTCTAATAGTACTACGTTTAAAATTGACAACTACATTAAATTTAACTATAAAATGATACATTCGGCAAATAATTCGACATTAGAAGATTACTAGTATGCAGATCAATTACGTGAAGACTATACTGGTGAAAAATTTCCTTGTGAAGAAATATATTTTATGAAAGATACTGATATACCACTTCGAACAACACAAGTTTTTCGTCAAGCATGGAATTTAGTACGAAGAACAACAAAATATAGAATTATATCGATTGACAAACCTGATGCTCATCTATTTGATATGATTCCAAAAAATTGGGCATACAATTGTACGAATATAAACCTAGGTGTTCATTATGATCCACAGATGTCAACATTACAATGATATCAAAATTTGACAATTCAAGTTTCATTACAGAGTCCACCACATCGAATCAATGGTAATGATACAGTCATTATCGCATGGGAACCAGCTGATTATTCGAAATGTATGGATTGTGTAATATATACACCAGAACGGCTTACTTTTAATGATAAAAATTTTCAACAAAAACAAACACTTACTTTTACTTGTGTTAAAAATGGGAGTGTAACTTTAATTCCAAATTTTTCTGGTAGTATATTCGATACAATTACACCAGGATACAATGCTATTTATATTGACTAAAATTGTTTTGTTGTTTTATTTGTTTATTTTCAATGCAAACAATACCGTTAGAAACCTAAAAAAATATCATTTGCAATAACTATGAACATAAAAGAAAAGAGAGAGCATTGTATATCTATCTACATTATATGTGTGCGTGTATCGAATTAATTATGCGAATGAATTATAAAATAATTCAATCTTTAGAGTTTGTAGATAAGGATGAAGAATAGATTCTCACACATTTACTATTATTCTTTCTTAAGCATATCAATTTTGAACCAGCTCTACACAATTTACCAACTATTATTTCAGCACATGTCAAATCTGTCTCGTGCGATCGATAAAAAGCTTAGATTGCTAACTATTACGATTTTGAAGATATTCATCTTTACACCGACTCTATGCAAACCTGTCATTAACAATAAGTAGAGCAGCATCTACATTGTGTGATCATCTTCTTATCTATTATTCACTCCGTCCTTTATGAGAGTTGAACTACATCCATGTGCATCAAGATCTCATGTTATAATTGAATATGTTTTAAAGTACCAAGCATGCCACACATTTTACTTTTTTTTGGTATAAAACTACGTTTTTACTTATCAATAGCGGTTATTAAGTTTTTTAATGAAGTGAAATCGTAAAAATACTCGTGCCAGTTGAGTTTGAATGTAATGCGAAGAAATCAACTTTAATTTTCCAACGACAAACTGTAAAGTACATAATGCCCTGAAGAAAAAAAAGAAATGATTTGCACAGATTCGTTAAAAATTTCTAATTGAAAATCTCGAATGATTACCATCTCCGACCCAAATTCTATTTATTATTAGACATATCCAGTCGTTGATCTCAAAACTAAACCAGATGATCAAGTTCATTAATATGTCTAGAGTTCTAGACAAATACTTGTATCCATTGATTGAAATAGGCATTTTCTTGAATCATCATCTGAATTTGTGAAAATTATTATACGAAGTAAAACTTCAGTTGTAGAATTCTAGTTTATCATTTATAACCAATTTCTGATCAATAAAAATTTTTATTGATAAAAAAATAAACATGCAAGAGATGACACAATATGACACTTCAAATAGCGAAAAAATAAGCAGTAACTTTGCTCTGACGATTATCTTTTAAATTCAAAAAAAGTTTCAAGAAATTAAATCTAATGTGAAACATGCTCATCAAGAAAAAACAGATTTAAGTTCATATTTATAGCGAAAGCAGCGCCATCAGAGAAGTACATCAATAGGATTGGCTAAAAAATGACTATAATGTTGAGCAAAATGGCGAAATACACATGTTTCTAACTCAACTTGTTGTTGTAACAAAAAAAATTATTGAGTTCAATTTTCAGATCGGTAGATATTTGATTTCAGATACTCATGTCTTAGTAAACATCATCGGATTACAATTAGATTTTGATATCTTTTATATTATCGGTTTACATTTAGTTCTTGATATATTTCCATTGTGTCGAAAACAGCACAATCCTTTTCATAATGACTAATAACAATATGGGTAAATTGTTTTTGAAATCTTCATATCTTTTGTTCATAACAATATATACATTTTAAGATCAACGACAAAAGCCTCATATTGAATATTTCTGCTCTATTTTTTTCTTACGAGACTAATTCAGTCTTTGGTTTTCCACAGATCTGCTCTCATCACTTATTGGCAGTGAACACATGCATGAAATTATGCTATGCAGCTGAAAAGTACATATACAAAGAAACTACAAACAAGGAACTTTACCTATATTTAATTATAGAAGAAGCAAAAGCAGAATCTCAAAAAAAAATATTCATCTTTTAAATCATCTTCGTAACGTAGTTGAACAGCTTGAATTATTATGCAATCAATGATAGGCATGCAATGCTCGTATGAAAGTTGAAGTTAAACTTTAACATACCCAACGTATGCTTATCGAATTCTCATTTCTGCAGATATGCACAACTGTTATCAATGATCATTTAACATTTGAAATACAACCATAGACTCAAGCAATAAAATTTTATATTACATGTGCGGTAAGTTCATTAATAAATGCCATACGATATAGAAACATTCATAATGATCTAAGAAGCAGGTAATTTCATATATTGATGATGTCATAACTAATAGTCGATTTTGTTAATATGAAAGTCATAACAAAAATGCTGCATAAGAATTAAAAAATAATCTTAGAACAAGAGAAGTAAATCATGACTTAGAGATGAGATGTATTCTTGATGTTAGTTTATCAATTTTTGAATTGGTTAAAAAAAACATATCATTAATGTCAGAAAACACCAAGCGACAATATTAACTGCCAATATTCGTTTATTCTTTCTGAAATTACATAAATTTACAAGTTGAAATTAGACTTTTCATTCGATTAAAAATGAATTATTACAAAAGTCTTTTTAAAGAAACAGTTACAATATTATAAATTACGAAAAATAAACTTAAGAATGATTCTGTAAGTAGCATTGATAAATTGAAACTTTTTTTTTCATTATTATTTTCTAATAAAGACATTCAAACCTATATTATTCATAGTTGTTGACAATGCAATAAGTGAAAGGATAATACATCAATGATGTTTGTCATTAAATTTATATTGAATGAATTTGTTTGTCAAAAATGATTGAACATAATTTAGCAGTGAATAACGATAGAGATTTTAAAACAGAAATTTCAGATACAGAAAAAAGTGAAATATAAAAATATTTTAGTCATTTTTCAATCAATTCTCTTTTACTCAATTAAAAATTCATGAAGTTAAATATCAAATTCAAACATCAACAAGAAAAGAATCCAGATGATTTCATCATAACATGTAATACAAATGTCTTTGATACTTGTTTTTTTTTTTCAGCCACTCATCGATAGTCGCGATTTTTATGTTGAAGATTCATCATTAACAAATAAAAATTGTTCTATCATCAACAATATTCAAACCATTTCTCTTTGATTCAGCTCTAAATCATCTAATATTTGTATTTTTAGATGATAAATTGTACGATAAACAAATGATTTCAACATTAACAAACTGATCTGTGATCGATTTTGTTAAATACTTATTTTCTTCGAATGGTAAAAAGTAACAGATATGTGTTTATTTGAAAATAAATTAGTTATTTTATAGTTAAACTTAATCATCTAGTTAGTCAATCTTCATTTTAAATGAATAACTTATATAATTCGTGTATAAAAAAACAGTCGTTGCACGACATATTTAGTCGATTTTCATCCACTTATAAATGATCGCAGAGAATCAACAGTAATCAGGTAGAATTAGAATTTCATGCTCATGCTTAAAGACGTAACCAGAGAAAAATTTTTTAGTGCGGACTCAGTCCATTGAATATATCTTTGGAGAAGCTTAAGCTTCTATTTAACTGGATTTCAACTATTGGTAGAAGGACTAAGCTACTTCTGGTCACCATCTAGTTATGCCTGTACGCTTTCAAACTATATATTTAGAATTTTTTTTTCTTTTTTAAAAGTAGTTCATTTCGAGTCAACATTTAATGGAGGACGACAATGACCTCTGTCTAGAATTTTTCATCTTGTTCAGGTTTGTACCTTCATCAAACTACCTCAATCCACACTATAAGAACTTCTTTTTTATACGCCGATTTGTAGAGCAAAGTATGTTCTACATCATCTTTCGTACATAACACTACAGATGATCGAAGTTTTTTTAAATCATAAATATACCGTCTCACTCCAAGAGTAACTGATCCAAAAATGTTTATAGTTTTTGATTTATTTGACTTTTTACTTATGTTAATCTATGATTTGATGAAAAATCAAAATTCTCTACAATACTATAAATTGGAAACTATCCAAAAATCTTATCCAGTAAAATTATGAATGACGAAAAAAAGTCAATATGACTTCATGCAAACAACATTTTGTGTTTATCGACATCTTTGCTACCAGCTCATGAACTATAAGTCAGAAAAAAATGCTGATCATATATTCAGAAAGACCACCGAATCCTGACTCTACTACACTGCTTTTAATTCAATTCAAGGACATCTAGATATCTGAAAAATAAGCAAACATATTTATCAACATCTTTTCATTTAGTATTTTGTAAAAATATTGTTTTTCGTCGCTACCAAAGATTTGCTTTTTGAAAATAGCAGAAACTATCGATCTGAAGTTGTTCTGCAATCGAAAGAACAAGACCGCGGACGTCTTTTCATCTGATACCCTTTAAAGCAAAATTATTTAAAAACTCATCATTTTTGCAAAAACATTCAAACAAATGCATAGAAAAAGGTGTTCTGTTTCAACAAACTTTAGATGAAAAATTAAAAATCAATAGAATTCCACAGAACTTAACTCTTTAGATGCGTATTTTTCTTTGTGCAATAGTCGTATATAAAAAAAAACGCTCAACATATAGCTTGAGAGAGCACGAAAATCCTGATTCTAGTCAATAACTTGTGATTCTCTTTGTTGACTTATCAATAGATAAATATTGACCAAATATATTATGCAAAAACTCTTCACACATCGGCTAGTACAGAATTTTTAAAAATTAAGAATATAATATATTCTATTACTTTGAATATACTTATTTTAGATAAAAAAATTTCCATGGCTGATTTAGATGATATTGGAATTGAATTAAAGGATACTGATGAACAATCTATTGACATTATTCAAAATTGTCCATCGCCTCCAGCACCATTTCATCGACCTCTTATTGAACAAGGAATAATTATTCAACCACCTGTTACATTTAATGATCAAGAACAAGTAATTACTGTAAAAAATATTGTTCCATTTGATAATATATTTTTTAATGATGCAAAACTTTATCTTTTTCAAACAATAAAAAATAATTCATCAACATTAAATGAAACAAAAAGAAAATCAGAAAAAAATTTTTTTCAGCGTTTCATTAATTTTTTTCGTTCAGCAATGAGTTCACATCATACATTAGAATTGAATCGACAATGTGAAGAATTACTTCTTTTAACAACATATCCATGTAATATGTCCGATCGTGTACATATACGTATATTATATACAATATATCGTCGTTTAACAAATTCAAAAGAAATTTTTTATACTACACTTGGTCCACATTGGGAAGATATTGGTTTTCAAACATCAAATCCTGAAACAGATTTTCGTTCAACTGGTCTTTTTTCAATATTTTTTCTTCTTTATTTTGTTGATTCAATGTATTTACCATTAGCAAAACAAATTTATCAATTTTCACATGATGAAAAACAACAATTTCCATTTTGTTGTATTGGTATTAATTTAGCTAATATAGTTATAAAATATCTTCGACGAATAATATCTCGAATGAATGTTGAAAAATTAATTGATGAAAAACAAACAGATCATACAGCTATTGATTTATCTGGTAAATTATTTATTGCACTTTTTTTAAATTTTTATTTAAAATGGAAAGATAATTTTTATACAATTGAATCAACACAACAAGTATTACATGAACTTGAACAATTAATAATGAATCGACCAAAAATTTTACTTGAAGAATTTGATAATTATTTTCAAAGAAAACAAATTGAAAACAAACATGACAAATCCGGACAATATGAATTTAAGTCAACAAATGAGAATCTCGTTTAGAAATGAAATATTTTTATGTTTCTTTCTTTCTTTGTATTATAAATTAACTAAAAATGAGTTTAAATTAATGAATTTAACTATTCCAATCAAATCCGTCCATGTTTATCATTTCGTTGAAACTCATTTTTAGTTTAAAAACCATTTTTTGTGATATACATATTGTTTGCTTGTTTTTTTTTGTGATATTTATTACAAATTTATGAATTATTTGCATATATTTTCTTTTTTTTTCAGTAATAAAATATAAAAAATAAAATAAGATTATCTTATATAAATATGAAATGATTTGCTTTCATATTTTTAAGATAGAAATCACTTTACATAATTAGTTATTATTTGTATAGAAATAATGATTCGAAATATAATTGGTCTTATATTATCTATTTTTGCTGCTGGTGCATTGATTTGGGCTTGTACTTTTGATATTGAACATCTAATGATTGGTGAATTAGTAACAGCTGCCGGTGGTAAATTTAAATTTTTAACAATAATAAATCTAGTAAATAGAATTTATTTTATTTGTTACTAATTTAATTAAGATTTATTTATTAAAAAATTTAGTATATTCAAGCAATCTATTATTGTTTATGTATAATTAATTTCTTTCTTGGTTCAAATACATTTGTAGAAGAAAAACGTTCATCATTACAAAAACTACGTGATTCTCTTTTTGCTGGCATTGTTTTTCCACTGGGATTGGTGAGAAAAATTCTTCTTTTATATTGATAAAATCATTATCATTCTTTATTTAGTTTGTATGTATTACATTTTGGAGTTTATATCGTCTTGATCGTAAATTAATCTATCCAGAGGAATTAGATCAACTTATTTCACCAATTCTTAATCATGTTTTGGTAAATATTTGAAATTGTTTATCATTTTGTCACAACTCATATAATGTTTTTCAAGGAAAAACTAGTGAGTGTTAGGTCATCGTTACCAAGTTAGAAGTTCTTAGCTCTGTTTCCATAGTAACTGAGGACAATGAGTACTAAAATACTCTCTAATCATTCCTTGACAACAAGCAATGGTGCTGAACGGTATTAGCAATAAGGCTTAAATAATTCGAGAATATTTCAAAGCCTTCCTTGAAATTTAAATAAGTAGAATACTTTTATGCATGTTCGAAATAGCGCAGTTTCTGATTTTTGCGTAGATAAACGATGATATTCAAGATATCAAGAATGATGAATTGATTTACTACAGTTAGCATATGACCAAAACGAAAAGAATAGATTGATCAAGTTTTAATTCTCAGAAATAATTAATATCAGAGTTTCTGAACTTATCGATATACATAGAGGGATGTTAAGAGCTGTTGAATGTGTATAACAGACTTATTTGTCAGTTAAACCTAATAGTAAACAGTATAACAATAATAAAATGCGAACGATAAAATAAAAAAAAAGAAAATAAATAACGAGCGCATAGTAACAAAACAAAGAAAAGAGAACATCAGTCAAATAAAAAAAAAACTCTGTTCGTAACGTAGAAATAAGTAAGATCGAACGTTCTTTGACAATCGATCATTATAGAAAAACATCTATCGTTTATTAGATATTGTTTAGTTGACATATTTTTCATCAGTGTAATGAAACTAAAGAAGGTATGTGAATCTCATATTTTAGAGTCAAAGTGACTGCAGTAACAAGCTTTATTACATGATATACTGGATTTTTTTTCTTAGCATACATTACCGGGTGTGGCTATATGCCTTGAAAATCTTTTTCATAAACATCGTTATCCATCGCGAGTATTAGGTCTTTCATGTAATGCAGCCGTATGTGTTGTATATGTTGCATGGTAAGTAATTATTTGTGTCATTTTCTTTTGTTATAAAGTTTTCGATTATAATTTAGGATTCATTATTTGAATTACATTCATTGGATTGAACTGAAAAGAAGTCTTTGGGTTTATCCAATATTAAATGAATTGTCATTTGTATATCGTGGACTATTTTTACTTGGTTTGTCATTATTCAATGTTGGATTGTATTTCATCGGAGAAATGTATACATTATTTTTGACAAGTAAATTTTATTATTTTTGTTTTGTTTTTGATTGATTAATTGAAAAAAATTTTCATTTTGTTAATTTTAGGTTTACAAATTGAAAAAATTAAACAAAACAAGAAGATATATTAGATGAACTTGTTGCAATATATTCCTATATATTTGCTATTTGTAATTCTTGATTGAATTTATTTCAATAAACAAAATTCTCTCTTTTTTATTTTATTGTTGGTATTGTCAATCTCTTTTTCGCTTTGTGACCATTATAGATGCCTGTGCAAAAATTTTCTTATGCACATCGATTTGGTATTATTTCAACATCATATAAAGAAAAAATTGAAAAAGATATACAACAACGCCAACAACAAGAAAGTGATCGAGCATCATCAGCATATAGTAGTGAACATAGCAAGTAAGTACTATTGACAATATAATATCAATATTAATATATAATTGATTTACTTTAGAAAATATTTAATACTTGAAGTAACTGAAGAATTTGTACGTGATTATAATCGAGCTTCATCTAGTGAACGAATAAAACTTAATGAACTTATCTATCGAATGTTACAACGACTGAAAGTAAATGAAAAATCAAAAAATAAAATATCCCTAACATAATAATTTATTTAGAGAAAAGCAACACAATGTCAAGTACATACAAATCGACCAATTCAATTACAAATGGCTTGGTAATAGATGTTCATTGAAAATTTGATCATTAAAAATTCTTTTATTTTTGTTTTACAGGGCTGAACTTTGCTTGTTATCTCAATGTAAATCATGTTATCAAGAAGGTATATGATGAAGAAGAAAAAATTATTTTTATAATAAATTATATTTTAATTAGAATGTTTAACAACACTTTATCGAGCATTGATATATAGTCCATTGAGTGCAACTCAGATTCCCACATTATTTTTTCTCTCAGAAACAATTCTTTATTGGCTTAAAAATGATGCTATACTTGAACCATTTCTTACATCAACTGAATTGAAATTGTTAAAAGTAAGAAAAAGAAATAAATGTTAAGTTAAATGAAAAATTATTATGTAGATTGGTCAAATTGTTTTTCAATTATTATATTTTCATTATCTAGAAGGTATATAAAAGAAAAATTTGTTTTTTTTTTCGCTCATCTTATTTTGTATATTTGTTTTTTCTTTAGGTTCAACTGGACCTTATGAAGAATTCAAAATTCGTCTTCATACATATTTAGAAGGTAGATCAATCGTTTTTTTTTCTTCATTAAATATTATTATAGAATATCATTTTTTTTTTTAGGTCTTGATGAATGTGAATCTGCTTATTCTTCATATCCCAATGCTGTTTGGTGTATTCATTATATTGAATCTATTGGTTCTATTCTTGTTGCTAGTGTTGATAAAAATATATTAAATTCTCGTCGTAGTATATCATCAGCAGCAAGTCATCCAGTACCACCAATTGCACCTGAAGATTTTCGTGATATACCTAAATCTGAATTAAGTGCTATTGTACAAGAATTATCACCAATTATTTGGCATTCTGTTGAGGTATGGTTATTTGTTAAAAAATATTCAACAAATAATTTATCTGAAGTTATGAATCATTATTTTAATGAAACAATTCTTTCATTAATTGCTTGTCGACATAAAATAATTGATGAAAATTGGTAGGAAAAATTATTGTTGATATTCAATATCATACAATGAAAAACAAAATATTATTATTTATATATATATATATATATAGGATTGATGTTGTTATGGCTTTACAAATTTTAGCAGATGTTGCAAAAACAAATATGGATATGTTAGAAACTATTCAATTATTGGCTCAACGTAAAAAAAAAAAAAATATTTTTTTTTTGAAATATCTTATCGTTTTTTTTTTATTTTATTTATTTAGCTGAATCAACTGCTCAACTTCCATTACATAAACGTGCTGAATCTCATTTATTATCTCGTGGTTGGCGTTCATGGCCATGGCAATTAATAATTCTTTTATGTGAATGTCTTACATCAATATGTATTGGTACAAATCAAGCAGCTATTAAACGTACAGTTTTATTTGGTAATGAAACATCATCAGATAATATTCTTACATATGCAAGTGATAGTCAATATCCTATAAATGATCAAAAAACTTTTACAGAAAGTAGTACAACACGTGGAAATGATGATAATGTTTGTTTAATGCAAATGTTACATTATAGAATAATTGATGAACAAGGAAAAATCAAAATTGATAATGATGATAATCAATCATGGCGTATTCGATATATGGGTCTTTTATGTATGTCACAAATATATAAACATTTACAAGTTGAACCACGTCATAAAACCTTAAGTAATTTACTTTGGATGTTTATACATGAATATGAAAAACGTGAACGTGATGATCGAATACTTGAAGCACTTAAAGTTGGACGAGTAAAGAAAACTAATATTCATTTTTTTTTGCTTTTTCAATATTGAAGTTTCTTGTTTTTTCTTTTTTGTATTTGTATTTGTCTAATTTAGTTTGATGATGATATTATTCAAACATTAAAAACTGATGTTACAGAAAATCAATTAGGTACAATTTATAATAGTATAGCTCAACGTTTAGCTGATGGATTATTACCAGATCCAACACCATCTGAATTACGATCAGCTAAAGTAAAATATAATAAAAAATCATCATTTAAAAAAGGTCAATATATTGGAACATCACAAAGTAATGAGCGATATCGTCTTAGTATACCTTCAGTTCCACCTTCAAGGTTAGATTTTTTATTTTTATTTTGTTTATTAAATATTAACTATTGATTTGATTTATTTTTAGAGATGAGAAAAAACATATTCAAATAAAACGAATTATTGAAAATAATATTAATGATGTATTTAAACGAAAAGAACAAGTATTACAAAGTATTGTTGTTGATCAATATCGTAAAGAACTTGAAGAGAAAAAAGATGAAACAGTTGATGTTATTGAAAAATTAGATTCAATGGTTGAACAAGCTATGGAAACCACAACATTGGATAAAAATTCATTATCAAGCGTTTTTACATTATCCAATAAGAAATTTATTGTTGATCCACTACAAGAACGACGAGCTTTGGCAGAATCAATGGGTCTCAAATTGATCATAAATGAAAATGATGAACAAGAATAAACTCATTTCATTCATTGACTTTTTTTGTCTTCTATCGATATATTTTAATCTCAACTTTTTTTTTTTTTTTTACAAATAAAATTTTCTTCCGTCCAATATTTTAAAGAAATGCATAAGTAATTGAATTTAATTTGATTGGTCTGACATTATCCAATAGAAAAGGATAGACATCATTATATAGCCAATATTTGTTTTTTCGTACGTTGATTAACCTCGGAACAGTCTGATCTTATGAGGTTTTTTTTAGATAGTTTTCTTACAAAAATAGACATGTTGACCGCCAGTGGTCGATGTTTGTCTCTTAGTGCACTTCCTCGTGCAAATGCATTAGCTATTATTCGTCAAGCATCATCGTCACAATCAAATAAGGATAAAACAGAACCAGTTGTTGTTGTTTCATCACCATCTGGTTCAGTTGAAGATTCAACTCGTTCACCAATGAGTCAACGATCTTTACCTCCCGATGATGGCAAAGTCCGTATGTGATCATTTCTTGATTTTTTTATTTATTTACTTATAAAACAAAATAATATTGTTTCTTTTCATTTCATAGGTTTTCCTAATCCATGGGATGTTATTCTTAATAAACGTCGTTTTGAATATGCTATGGTTTGTAATCAATTTTAAGACTATTAAGAATAGAAAACAATATTTTATTGATTTTTAGAAATTCAAAGGATATGATGATCCATTTGATATGATGCCAGTTAAACGTATTGCAAATAGTTCAGCAGATAATCCAAATCTATTACCAAGTTGTAATGATAAACGACTTATGGCATGTATTTGTAAGTTTATCGTATCATATTGATACATTAGAAAAAGAATCTTTCTTTTTTTTGTAAAAAAAAAAAAAAACAAAAGGTAATGAAGATGTTTATCATTTGAAATGGATGCATCTTCATCGTGGTGAACCAAAACGATGTTACTGTGGTATGAAATTATTCCTTTATTTATATATAAGATATAAGTAATTGATTGTATTTATAGGTCATTGGTTCAAATTAACAGAACGACAATTTGTTGATCTAAGTGATTTTGGTATTACTGAAGAAATGCAAAAACCAGCTGCTCATTAAAACTTGTCCTCGTATTTTTTTTTTCTCTTAAACTAGACCATTGTAGTTCTTGTCTCTTTCACTTTTGTTTTTATTTCCACTGATCTTTTTTTTTTTTCGTCCATCATCATCATCATCATCATGATCCAATTAAAGATTTAGCAAAAGAAAAACAAAGAACAACATAAATATTATTATTCTTTGTTCGTTCCAGATATGTCTGATTATCAGCTAAGTAATGAAGATCATGAGGCATTGGAAAAATTTACGAAATTTTTCTTAGTTAAAGCAGCACAAATTATTGTACAGTCACGTTTAGGTGAAAAGAAAATAACGAAATCTAAACCTGTTTGTTCTGGTAATGAATGGGTAAATTTATAAATTAATGAATGTATTTTTTCAAAAATCTTTCTTTTCTTTTTTTTTTTTTTTATTTTCTTGTTTAGTTTCATCTTTCAATTAAAGATATTCCAGAAGTAACTGTCAATGCTAAAAAATGTTTAACCGATGCTCAACATCTTCTTATCAATCCTCCTCATAGGTCATTTTGTGTTGAAATATCATTACGTACACCAGAATGTCATACAATTACATTAGAAACATGGTGTATATCATTTGATGATTCAATTTCAGATCCATCACAACGTGTTCGTTTTAATATTTATAATCGTATGAGTATTGTTCTTCGATCTTTACTTACTTGTACACGTGCAACACCAACATATCAATTATCACGTAAACAATCAGCTGATAAATATATTATTTGTTATAAAATGTACAGTGGAGAGCCTATAGTTAGTCATCTTGGTGAACATTATTCGAAAAAAACAATTGGAAATATTATAACACCAATTGGACGTTTTGTATTAAATGTTGCTTATCGAACACGTTTAACAATGTCATCAACACCAACTGATAGTGGAACAGTTCCGTGTTTGACACAATTTGGTATTGATATTAAAGATGATCATTTTTCATTAGATAAAGATCAACATTCTCTTGAAGAGTAAGAATTAAAAAAACAACAACTCTTAAAATATTATATATTTAAATCTAGAGATCATGATGCTCAATTACCATCAATACAAGATGCAAGTGTACCAAAAAGTTCACCTATTGACGTAACGAAACAAAGACGTACCAGTACTGATTCTGTTTCTTCTATTCATGGGTAAATTTCATTGAATGAAAAAAAGTTTTGTGATATTAAATCTATTCATTTGCTTTTTGTTTTTCAAGGACACCAGACAAAGTTTATTATAGTAAATTACGCGCTGCATTTACAACACCTGGTACCATTGCACATTCTTCATCACATATAGGTTCATATTCTCGTACAAATGATAATGATTTACCATATGTACTTATGATGCAACAACAACAACAACAGCAACAACAATATATGGAACAAGAATCAAATTCTAAAAATAATTTTTATCTCGGTTCTGAGTTCGATAATGAAACAGCTCCTGATGATTTTATTCTTGTTGAAGTAAAACCATTTTTTGGTAAAAGTGATTCAACAGATGATTTAGCTTTATTTATTCGTTCATGTCAACAACCACCTATGCTTGAATCATTTGTTATTGAACCATCACTTGGTGAAACAATAAATCAATTAACGGAAGAATTACGTGTATTTGAATCTAAAGTTGAAGAATTCGATCAACTTGTTAGTACATTATCGACAACCGAATAATTTAAATATATATATATATTTAGAAGTTCTATTAGACGACTCAACAGTGCTTTCGAACAATGTATCTTCTCTTTTTTTCTTTTGTACAGCGGAATAAAAAAAAAATAATTTAAATGTAAATAAAATTCTTCTTGTTTTTTTTTTCTGCTTTTGTATGCTGATTCATTTGAACGAGTATTTAAAAAAAGCATGGAACATACGATAGCAATTGAATATTATTTATTTATTCTGTGTTATTTGTCTTATGTTAAAATTATTATTGTAGCAAATTTTCGAAATTTGCTCAGTGTAATATTTTCTTTTTTACTTTCTTTCTTTTAAAAATAATTATTATTTAATTTAAAATTATGCTACAGTTAAATTGAAAAACAATACATAATAGTGTACGAGAGTAAAATGTACAGTGTTGCTAAGTGCTTAGAGTAGTAACATACTTCATAAAGTACGATTATTTTTTGAAAATACGTGGATCTTTCAAGAACTCATCAGCGTACAACGATATCAAAATGCAACGATACAGTTTTGTTTTGCCGATATCAAATATGTTATTTATTTTCTTTATTAATGTATGGGCAATGAATGAGATACAAAACATAAATGAAATAACTTGATGTTGGTATGAATGTCAAGTTTTCTTGAAAATGATTTATTTAGGGATATGTTTCCTCTAAATTTTCATTATTGTATTTTTACATGATTATGACAGACATTAACTATGAAAGATATAGTAGAATGGACGAATTTTGCTTCTTTATGTATATTTTCATAGTGTGTATATTCTTATTATTAATGAATTTCTCGAACGATACATACCCTAACAAACACTGTCACACTTTATGTCAATAATTTAAAAACATCTTAGACTATATAGTGTACTTTTTTAGTAACAATAATATTGCTTGGCTGAACTAAGAACTATTTTTCGAAGAGAACATTACATTTCAAAAATAACTTTCGAGCAAAAATAACTTTAATTTAGTAATTATCAAAAGCTAACAATTTCAATTTTTATCGCATATAGAAGCAGAATACGTCACTTTTCAGCTAATTTGCACTATAGGATGTTTCCTAAGGACAGTTTCGTTAGCTTGCTATTCTTTCTACAACTACGTAGTACTAGCTGTAGCTCTGAACAGAAGATCGACCAGAAGCAGAGTTTTGTCACTCAATTAGTGAAATTCTCTGTGCACACTAACTAAACACATATTAGGCAAGAGAGCGGATGTAGACCATAACGTAACCTAAGGTAAGCAGTTGTTAATAACTTGTCTAAGATTGTTTCATGCTTCCAGGTACTAAAGTTCAAACTTAGCACATTGCAGCACGAACGGAATAGCTTAATTACAAAATTATAGCAACATCGTTCGTAGAAAGAAGTCAAAGGTAGATTAAGATAAAACGAAAACTTTTTTCATCACGCTAACGTCAAAATTTATTAGCGTATTATAAATTAAGAAATGAAACGCCTCAAAGAACAGTAAATAAAATAATGACGAAAATGCTTGAAGAATTGTAAATAACTATGTATGTCGCACGCTTGCTCTCGCTACCGTCTATATACCGACATTTGGCGATCTGAGGATAGCTAAAAGTTTAAATATCAAACTACTGTCGATATAGAGTACCTTATATTTAGTGATTTGCCAGTGGTTTTTTGTTCAGTTCGAATAAAATGAGTACTTTAAAATAGAATCAGCTTTCAGAATTTATTGTCTTTACATAAACTTCGATATTTATTTTTCTATCTTATGAAAGATAGTAGAATGAAGACTGATTTTTTTTCAAGTCTCTGACTTTATTTTAATCTAGTTGACATATATTCTATGCAATGAAATGATAAATTCAATGTTTTTCATAAATCTTAATGAACTGCCAACGATTAAGTGCAAACAATGACGTAAACATAGTACATTTATTGATAGATGACATATTGATTTTTCAAAGACAAATAGAAAAAGAATTCAACATCATACACAAGAAAAAAATCATATATTTTGTTTTAGAATTGGTTCACGTACAAAGAAAATAATTGATGCAGCAATCATACTGATAAGATAAAATATAAAACAAATTCGATCAACAATAATAGCTAAAATTTTCCATTCTTCATATATATCATGTAAAGTTTGTGTTTGAATATTTTGTTTTCTTGCATGTATTGTTAAAAGTAATCGTTGACATTCAAGAATTTCATGTAAAATAGATACTTTTAAATTTTCATCATCAATTTTACTTGGATCAAA